TATATAAGATATTTTTGGAAAATTACACTGTCCTCTCTGCACAAAGTGAAAAGAAGAAAAATCTTGGATTCGAAAGATTAATCGTTTCAAACCGGATAATATTTTTGCGTTAAAAATAATAAAAGCGCTTTTGTCTTGTCGACAAATTTAATATCAATCGAAAAAAGAACGAATTATATTAATGATTCGGTTTTACAGCACGATATCTCGTATACATATACCAAGAGCGAAACGTTGTTAATAACGAGAGTTAAATCGGCTCTGATCATCCTTATGAATAATTATAGATAAAAAAAGGAATTAATATACGATTAATAATTATTCCACCACAAGCTTGAATGGAAGTTTATCCAACGAGCAAATTAAATTAGATCTCGAAGCGATAATGAACTTCTCTCATATGATCGACCCTATTTGATACTTCTATGTAACAAATACTGTTATAACTCAATATTGTATAACATTATTTCGATCTGATGACTTCCTAGAAAAGCAATATGGTTAATTAGCTTAGTTGAAATTTCAATGGAAAACTTCACGTGGGTTGTAACGTATTGCTTTATCTTTAAATCAAAGGATCGGTTGCAGGGAAGAAAGGTCGTTCGTTTCTCGATTCGTCGAGGAGAAACAATTGTTCGACGAAATGCAATTTACTTAGTAATGAATACGCCATTTCTAAGTAATCGAGATTTAAATTTACTTTTATTTATAATCTATAATTGGGATTAAATTGTATTCTACATCTTATTATTATTATTATAGTCCTTAGAATTATCTTATATCCAATAGAATTTTAAAAAATAATTGAAAACGTGTAAAAGATACGATAAATATCGTAAAAATGATCATCATAAATATTTTATCCTTTAGAAGGTGTAAAATAACATAAAACGTAAAATTGAAGAATGAAAGATTTCAAATGGGATATTTTAGCGATTTAATTTATTTGGATTATTTCATATCACGTATATAAAAATTCCAATGAATAAAACGATTTAACTTCTCTGTTATAGAGAATGTGTCGGGAGGCGCTATTCCTCCGTTATAATTTCACACCTTCAATATTTATGGCGCATTGCATTTGCACATGGCGAATGCAGATTACAGGATTATACGCAATAATTTTTAACATGAATCAGATTGATCGAATTTCATCGAGATCGAAGAAATATCGCGATTCTATCATAAATCAGAGAATTGAATGCTCGTGAATTTCCTGTAATAACCGTAATGTGAACGAAGATTTCATGTAATATTCATACGACAACTGTTCGTTACTGGCGGGAAAAATTAAAATCCCATAACCGAAGCATCGATTAAAATTGACACGAAACAATTGCAACGATATCCAATTACAAAAAAATTCCAAATTTTTTATTATAAACGTTAAAAAAAATCTCAATTTTCTGCGAGAAAATTCATTCGTTACGATAGAGAACTCGATACTTGATTAATTGAAAAAATTGATAGATCAGATTTTAAGATGTGTAAAATAAGACTAAATGTGATAATAATTCTCCAACGATACTTCAAGTTTATCCCTTAAATCTCCTATACATATGAACGAGGATATACTTCGACCCAAGATCTTATGAGAAAAACCAAGACCTGTGCAAACAATTTACCGCAAAATAAAATATATGCTTAGGCAGGGAATGATCCTTTTCGTGATTCTCCACAAGTAAGAAGGACACCAAAATCATCTTAAACGTCGATTCGCGTCCCTAACCTCTTTAACCATCATTATCTTCTTCGAAAGTTGCGATTATCATCGTTCCACGAAACTTTTTACCGCATTGAAACGACGAGCGTTCATTCTGGAATAAATAGAGATCGTAAATTTTGTGCTTCGTTGTGGAAAAAAGCCTAAAAGTTCGCTCGAAACAACTAGAGTTCCTCCGAAATCACTCCCCTAACCCGAGAAACTTTGTAACTACGCCTTGGACGATTTCTCATGTGTAGACGTGTAATAGTGGAAGAACAAAAAAAATCTAGCAATATGAAATTGAAAAAAATACCTTGGAATTCCAAATAATCCAAATTTCTTTTCCTTTACTGCAATATTGTACGTGATATTCGTGTTTATATTCATAATTATTCATAAAAATCTCGAGACACAAAAATTTTATAAAGATGAATCTGAATATCATAAAAATTAAATATTCATGCAATAATTAAATCTCAACAAGAATAAAAATCATTCTCTGATTACATATATTATATGTAAGAGAATAAATGGAAAAAATAAGTAGTAACATTAGACACCTTTATATAGTATAACCTAACCTAACTTTTCTTCGTCAAAAGATTTTCGTCTATTCAAACACTCCGAGAAACTTTAACCAAGTGAAACACGCGTTGCGCATAGATATAACTTAACCTAAAACCGTGACGGATATACGGATGTGTACAAAATATGTATTATATAGTCTCTAACAGTTCCACTGAGTGAAGCTTATTGCCGCCGTTACACCGCATGAATACTGCATGCACAGTCACATCGTAGCTATCTTCTCGAACAGTCAGCTCCTTTCGAGTCCATTCACACTGCCTCGATTTATCGATATCATCGAAACGGTCGGCAATCGCCATGGTCACGGAACTACATTATCCAGAATCGATTAACCCGCGAGAGATAGAAGTGGATGGTAGAATCGATTAATCGAGACGGAATAGATGCGGACAGCGTAATCGATTAATCGGAAGAGAACTAGATAGGTTAGAATAATAGCAGTTAACGTTGCACGTGCTTTGAACGAGTTAAATGTTTTTGTTTGTGTTTTAAGTTGTATCGGTGTACTAATATATTTACGTAGAATATATATAAAATGATTCATTTAACCTCTATTATTTTTATTAGCAAATTGATTTAAAACACCTGTGATAAAGAAAAGTAAATATTGCTGATATATAGTTGATATTTTTATGATCAGATATAGGAATAGAATTGAAATAAAAATCTGTTTCATTCTCTAAATATATCATAATATATATTTTTCTTTGGATATTTTATACTATATTTCTTGTATATCCTGCATTATCTATAGATTTATGTACATTTAAATTTTCCATAAATGAATGATATTTGATTCTCTTTATCAATATGTATCATTGTGATTAATTGAAATATAATGAAGTTACGTATTATCGTGAATAACCTATAAAATACTAATTGCATTAAATGCAAACGAAAAAAAAATTCGAAAAAATAGAAGAAATATCCTTCGTGGTTTATTTTATTATTATTACCAGAATCATTTAAAATTTCAGTTAACCAGATTTCACGACACGTTGTTCCACAACGAGTGACGTTAATTGCCGCGCAGCTGGCAACCATTTCCGGTCCAGTTAATAAAATCCAGAGGAACTATTTAACAATACAATGCCATGTTTCTCGTGGAGGAAGCTTATCAGTGGTTCCCGTAGGCGTTTTAATCAGTCCATCTCAATGAAACTACTTCAAAGTTTTCGAAACGGTGGGACGGAAAGTGGAAGTGGACACGTTTCAACAGGTATGCTACACGAATGATCGAGTAACGAAGAGGGATTACACATCGGATTTCTTAGCCAGGATTTGAGAAATGAAACTTGGAAACCGGAACACGGAGAAACGAGCTAAACTTCCTTGTTTCAGGAACGTAGAAGAAGGTTTTAGTCGACGAGCATATTGACTTAGGACTAAATTGGTCAGTCTAAACAACAGGATGTGAAAGTTACGTGGAAACCAATTTGCGCATCTCAACTTCCTTTGTGAACCAAAACGTTTCAGTCCTTTATAAGGTTGTTCCACACTGAATATGACGTATTAAAAAGTTATACACTAAATATTAAACTATAAAATATATTAAATATATATATATATATTAAATTTATCTTTTCAGAGATGATGAAATCAGACTTGCTTTTTATTATTGGATTTATATTTTTCCTGTTTGGCCTTTTTAAAAAATTCATAAATATCACAATCCCATATTACTTAAATACAATTTCTCTCAGTAAATTGTACTGCAATGGACGCTACATTTCGCTACAAAACGCTCGAATGGGAACTACGTGTACAAAAACAAATAAAAACGGATAGAAACAAATAGCTTTACATTATTCGAAACGGTAACGTCGTTACAGGATGCTCGATAAAGGACTCCTTTCCAGTGTGGACCGGCCAAATGTCCTGATAAAGGCCACCATCAAAGCATCAACTCGTGCGATCTTGCGCCGTTATAGGAATGATAATCCAAAGGACGAGTTATCAGAGGCGCCTCTGCCATCAACCAAAGATACGTTCCACCATTTTCGATTGGCTGAAATTCAACCTCCTGTATCTGTGAATTTTGTTTCGTCCATTTCGTTGCTCTATGCGCTCGAGCTTGTGAGATCTGTTCTAATGTGTTTCTTATAAAACTAATGTAATTGACAATGAAATGAAAATTATTGTCGATTGAACTACGCACGAGCAATTTGAAATTTCTTTCTCTTTTTTGCCGATTTATTTGTGTAAATCGTTGCCAGAAAAATTCTTTCTTTCCATGAGAAATTGGCGATGATAGCAGGATGTTAGTATCGAAGATATTGCTGACGATGAGCGATTTTTTATGCAAATCGATGGAGGGAAAATCGATTGAGAGGGCGATAACGGAGTATGAATGTAAGATGTGAGTAATCCGTTATAGAGAGATTGGGAGGATTTTGAGGAGTCGACGATCTGAGAAATTGAAGGATCTTGATTCGATTGCCGATTATCTCAACGAGATGGTGTGAGTACGATAGAATACCTTTTATCCAGGCTAGATTTAACTTTACATTTACGAAGTGTGTCGTTGACAAAGTATAATTCTTAGGGGAAAATTGCATCGATTTGGAACAATGTGTGTTCCGCTCGAAAAGGGTAAATGAAAATTATCGATTTTCGACTCGAACGTTAATATTGTCAAATTGATCAACCTGTCCTGTTTCACATTTTAAGAAACATTTTAAGAACCAAATGTTTAATCATTTATTTTTATTTCGCCTCGGTTATCTCTCGGCGTTTGTATTTGTTATTTTCGATTTAACTCTCCCCTAACTTCCGAAACGGAGTGTTTAAGGGACCGAGGCGCGGCATTTGCATTATTTAAATTGCAAGAGGGATATCCGGCCCAAGTGGCGCGTTTCGCAGCGTGGCCATTTGTTTTCCAAAGATAGAAACGTCGGCAGAAAACGTCGTTAAAATCGTCCATGTTAAATAAAGCGTGTCTCGGGATTAAGTAGGGCGAGGACTCGAATCCTCGAACACGTTCGTCGAACTTGATGCGCCATTTAATCGATAAACGAGGAGAAGAAGAGCCTTCTCGAATCGAACTCGAGCTTAAAAATGAAATATTCAAATTTCTTTCTTAATTCCATCTAGTATTAGAGTCAATTAGGGAGGAAAAAATTCATTTATTATTAATATCAACTTTTACAATAATTTCGTGATACGAAAGTTCTCTAGCAAATATTCGTATCGTGGAAACGAAGAATCTTAATTTAAGAGGAAGAAATTTTAGATTTAAGGTTAATAAATCGTTGAAAATAAGGAGCAGGGAGTTTCGAAGTTTTGAAGCGGAACTCGAGAGGTTTTGGCACTATGCAAATCTTGTTGTCGCCACGGTGAAATTGAGCTTCATCAATCTGAGCCGTCGGCTTAAATATTTCCACCTGTTTCGGGACCGAATATATCCACTTAAAATGCAACGGGAATGAAAACGGTGCGCGTTGTTAATCTTCGTTTGTGCCGCCATTCACATCCGCCATGCCGCGATTAAGAATGATTCAAGAACGTAATTACGTCGGCCAGGTTAAATGTTAAACGAACCGGTGAAAAATCTCGAAAAAATCTCGATGTAGTTTTTTTTTTTTTTTGTTTATGAAGAATAGATAAGAGAAAGAGATCTTATCACGCTTTTAATTTTGAAGAATTGCTACTATACTATAATTTTAGTAACATTAAACCTTAACTTTCCTTAATCCTTCGAACTTTGCCGATTTTAAGCTTTCAAATTGTAAATTTACTTTTTTGAAATTTTAATCAAGATGTTTATATATATATTCTTCTCGAAATTGAAGTCATAGAAAACTTCGAAGTCGACAAGATTTAGAAAATTGAAAATTTCTTAGAATTCAGCGAAAAAAAAAAAAAGGAGAGCAAAATTCAGAAATTTATAAGCGTATAAATTTTCAATATCAAGATTCTTCGACTTGTTCTTGAACTTTGAGAAAAATTTAGATATTAAAAAGCTGTTTTGAATTTTACAAATACCGAGACGATACACATCGAATACATTTGACCTCGCCAATCATTTTTATTCCACGTTTTTAATATTCTTCTTAAGTGTACAATAAACGATCCTCTTTATGTGTCATCGAGATAACGTCGTTTCAACAAAAGAGGATCCCGATCATCTTCGCTCGAACGAGGCGCAGCGCGAAAATGTCTCGAGGGATCTCACGGTTAGGTCGACACGTGGCAGTGGATTTCATTCAGCTCGAAGCTACGAGATAGAAGTAGCTCGAACGAGCTGACGTCCCGTATACTTTAATATTATTAACGTGCTTAGCTCGAGGATCGTCTCGTTCGACGTGACGGCGGCCATCTTTGCCTCCGGTTATACATATATATATATATCGAGAATACAGCGTAAATATTATAGTTGAATTATCCTTAGAATATTACTCCCTTTTAATTTAATTAAGATAATCCTTATTATTAATTTAATTAGAATATTAATTAGAATATTTAATATCGTTAATAGGATGTCATTTCGTACGTAATATTTAGAGATAAATATTTCGAGCTTATTCTCGAAGATTCTTCGAAATCTTGTAGAGTTACTCTAAAGATGCTTGTTGTTTTTGTCTACGTGTCAATTAAAATTATTTATAAACTCATTATTTCCTTCAAAAAAATCTATTTAATTTTTCAGGAAAAATTTCGTTCAAGCTTTTTAAAATTACTCCGTGTTGCGAGAATATTTTTCGTTGAAAAAGAATTTCCTTATTATTAATTTAATTAGAATATTATTAATATCGTTAATAGGATGTCATTCGTACGTAATATTTAGAGACAAATATTTCGAGCTTATTCTCTAAGATTCTTCGAAATCTTGTAGAGTTACTCTAAAGATGCTTGTTGTTTTTGTCTACGTGTCAATTAAAATTATTTATAAGCTCATTATTTCCTTCAAAAAAATTTATTTAATTTTTCAGGAAAAATTCCGTTCAAGCTTTTTAAAATTACTCCGAGAATATTTTTCATTGAAAAAGAATTTCATAAAAATTAATAGACATAATATGAAGAATTATAATCGCATGATGATCTTATTAAAGGATGTTTTGATCACGAAATATAGGCTCGAATTGGAAGAACGATTAGCAAGTAGTGATCGATTCGAGGGAAATATATACGTGGAAATATCTTTTGCGAGATTCGTTCTTCTTTTGAATCGAAGGGAGAGGTGCTCGAAATCTCTCGAAATCCAGAACAGTCGGCGGCGTTTAATTATCGTCTTCGTGCAACTGTCGTGCAATTATGCTGCATGTGCTTACACGGGGGACGTTTATTTGCTTTATTGCGTAAACAGATCGTGATAATTGCTTGGGATGACAGTCGAGCGAGCGGCGTATCACGGCCCAACGAGCATTCGATTCAGCTTCTCGGAATCGTTTGAAAATTCGGCGAGACGCTCGAATAAACGTGAACTACTTCTTCTTTCGAGAAACGAGAAATTAAACGATCAACGTTCCACGGTCTTGCAACTTTAAACAGATTCCTCGAGAATCGAAGGAGTTTTTTCTTTTCGAAGGATAAAATGGAAATTTGATCGTAATCAATAATCCATGAATTTTTCGAATTATTAAATCATTGAATCGTTAAAATTAAATGATAAATAACGGCTTTTTATTCTGATTTGAGAGAAATTTATTTATTATCACTCGATGATCTACGATAAGAGATACTTAAGTTTACGTATATTTACGTATTGTCGTTTATAATATATATTTAATATAAATATATTTTAAGGTTAAAATGAGATTTCAATGAATTTTCGGATAATTTAATTTAAAAATAAATAAATAAATCCACGATAAGAGATACTTAAGTTTAAAATTTACGTTTATTGTCGTTTATAATAACATTTAATATAAATATAATTAAAGGTTAAAATGAGATTTCAATGAATTAAATTTCCGGATAATTCATATTAAAAATAAATAAATAGATAACAGGATTCAAAAGTGAATAATTAAATAATTTTTTTAATTAAAAATAGTTTCAAAAAGCGTACAAATCGCCCGTCAACAATTGAAATCACGAAACAACAATAAAGAATAGAAGACATAAGAAGAGGAATGATTAAAGATTCAAAAAAATTAAGAATTTCAATTCCAACGACGAATCAACATCGAAACTCCATTCTCCACTCCACACTTTCTCGATACCCAAAAACATCCAACCCTCGAACGATCTCGAACAATCATGCCACCCCGTATCGCGTATCATCCGAATATATTTCGAGGGATGCGTTAACGAACCGTGGAAATCGGCAGAGAAATAGAAAAAAAAAAAAAAAAAAAATAACTTCGCGCGCGAAACAATCGGCTCGTTTCGAATTCGTGGCGTTTTGGCTTCCGTGCCGAATTCCGAATTCCCGCGGGAATCCTCGCGGGACCAGGCTTCGATGCACACTTGCCTATCTCTCCGATAAAATATCACCCCTCCTCTCCTCTCTCTCCGTTTTCTCCCCTCTCTTCGCGTTTCCAACGTTTTTCATCCGACGAGAACGAGAGA